GTCGTCTAACGGTCGTTCTCAACTGTTGAGGAGGACCACTGCAGAAATATGTCTGCCGTTCCTTGGTTTCTACAAACATCAAAGGTCGTAGGGAAACAGGCCTATGGGCCACGCCATCCTGTGTAGCAAAAGCTCCGTAAGTGTGCTAATTACGTTGTTTGGCAAACCTTCCAGCTGCAGAGGCCCATCTTGCGTCACTCGATTTGAGCCACAGATACGATGCCAGCCTTCTCTGTGCGCTTTTTCATTCCGCAGAAGTTACGATCCTATACCTAAGAAGCATGCAAAATTTCTGTATATAATTTCTGTGCTGTTTAATTGAATCGGACTGATCAGAATAATATACTTTGTACTTCGTACGACAGCGTTCTCCTTGGTGTGCGGTCTGTAATTGTTTCATAAACCTCATTGACTCCCATATTTTTCATTTCGTACGTAATCAGGTGAACAAACCTATTTCGGCTCTTGTTATCTTGTGTTCTATAGACAGATTTATTATAGCTCGCCCAAACAGGGAAGTAAGCAAGTGCAAATTAGCAAAGAGAACATGTGAGATTCGATTGCCTACTAATTAATTGTCAATCCTTGGACGGCTGCGGTGAATGCAGCTTACGAGCGGCAATATTTGTTGCCCGTCTTGGCATCGTAAGGTGCTAGAAGTTCGGTAGAGGAATATAAAAATGACGGTAGGAGAAAATGGCTGAGAAGATTTAAGAAACAAATGACGATTGCTTTTTCTTATTTCTCTTCTGCTGTTTTCGTTCTCTTCGAGAAAGCTTGAATAATAATCGCCCCGGCAGCTGTCCGACAGCCGGCAGCCACGTGACTGATAGACAGACAGCGACCAGCTCGTTTTACCGAAATCGTGGTTTACACCAGGGCAGTGGCAGCGACAATCTGAAGTTGTATCGAACAGTATGCAAAATGGCATGGCATGGCATGATATCACAACGTACGATCCAATGATACAACAATGCAGTGGAAGACGAAGCATCCTAGAAAGGAAGAGGAAGTGTGGTGGGCATCGCGATAGGTAACGGGGTCCTAATGTAAACGCATACCGCGCATAGCTTCAATCCGAGTACGTCTTCTGCCACATAGATGGCATCCGACAGATCCTCGGTCGTGCATAGATGTACACTAGCGGTATGTACAGGGTCACGTCGACTGGCTTGCAAAGCATGTAAACAGACATACGTTCTCGTTTGAATTCAGCATTGGTTGCGTTCCTCATCGGCAACCGCTGAGAGTTGATATGGAGCTATTTCAGCCAAATCGCTTCGCGATACAACTTTAAACTGTGTAAATAGAGGGGTGGTCTCTGCCTCACCTGAAAGGTGGGATATCTCCGAAGTGAGTAAATAGAGGAATACATACTTCTACATACCAAGCGTACATTTCATGCTATATAGACACTCTACACTTAATTCAACTAGTAACAGTCGTCCTATTGTGTTTAAATACCGCAGTTACAACAAGTATAATTCAGTCGTATGAAATCTTTAAATGTTCGCTGCTAAAGTTGCTATTGATATGGATTTGAACAACAAATTCTGTACGTTAGGGGTATCAATACAGTCGATCCAACTACTATTAGATGCTCAGGGTGTCCCTTCAGACAGTATCACAAAGCAATAATGCGATACAATATGATCTGGTGTACACTAGATCATTTCTCAGCTTTCACGTCAACCTTTGTTCGAATAGTGATTGAAGATAATACGTAGTTATGCCGAACATTCCTTCCGTAATTGGGGTATTTAATAGTAAGCACCGTATTTTTTTTTATTCTCTATCTATTACCTTCTGGATACGTAGCTTTATAGAACATCGGCATAGTGTTCGACCTCATATACTAGACACTGTGTCCCAGGAAGATGGCTAATAAGGCCTGATGATCCAGTCAATCCTGCGATGCTACAGGCCCAGCTACTCTATAATTTATAGAATAGAAGAACTATAACGATTATCCGCTCCCGTTAACAAATTTTAGATAATTAATCGAAATAATAATTGGCCAGATAGGGGAAGATAGTAGTGCCCTTTTGATGAAAAAAGTCAAATAGAGCTAAGACCTTAACGCGAGCAGCGGCTTACATTGAGAGTAAAGTTATACGATGCATGTTAGTGCCTTCCCAACGTCAGAGCGTAATGAAGATGTAGCAGTATACGTGCAACATGAAAGTTATCAGCAAAACTTCAGGATATCAATAGCAAAGCCGGTAACTTAGCTGACGGTATAGATTCGGCATTCAATGTTAAAAAAATATGGGCCATTTTGCCCTAATACTCGATGACTATTACTAAGGACGCGTTTAGGTGCATCTAGAGCATATTTCGGTGAGTACATCACGCGCAAATTAACCTTGTTAGAGCTAAATAATGTCACCCAACAAATGTGTTAGAACACTCTGACCATCGAGACGGTTTTCTTTGCGCTTGTCGCACCATTGTGCGTTAACCTGTATAGATGCTATAGTGGTCCATATTTTAGGCCAACGTTTTTACGTACCTAAAAATGTGCGTTTGTACCTACATACTAAATCCGCACGCTATTCGTATATCACATAGACGGAAAAGGAAGCGACGTGGCGAATTATATGGCTGGTGCATTTAGCAGTTTCATTCAGAACGACGATATCCTAGCGTTCACCCCAAATCTTTGCATTACCAAAAAGGTTGGCTTAGTAAACTAATTGCTTGTACAAACTAGGACATCCATGGTTCTCTCACCAGATGCTGGCGGCATAACAAATTGAAGTCAGCATAACCTCAGCTTACTAGTGTGAGAGCCGATAGCTGTCAAATAGTACTGTTTCTGTAATAAAATTCAGTTCGAGCGATAACTTAATAGCGAACGTGGCACGTATTAGCACATCTACCTACAGACAAATTTTGCACTCGCTTGTCAATCGTAAACTGTGTTTAGCTACGATGGAATTAATTACCTTCGAATACTCAAGTTAAAACAGAAGTTAAAGGTTAGTACATGTACCTAATTGAGTCGCACTCGTATGGCTACCCATCGCCTATAGTTACCCCTAACTAGACTCACATGTATTTTAATCTGTGCCGCTTCTTCGAGTGCCCGCAAGTCTACTAATAACATCCCACAACCACGCAATGGATTGTTTGACGGTGTTTTTATTTACATAGTTGGTTAGGTAGCGATTTGATCGTTGCACAGACTGACATAGGAAGGCAAGAAAAACAGTGAAAGTAGACAATCACGTTCTACCGTTACGTTCACTACTACAACCGTAGTTAGTAGAATAATACGCTAGTTTATCTTAAACCGCCTTAAATATATATAAACTAAGCAAAGTGCTACTTAATTTTATATATATGTATGCTTTGAGGTCAGACGTTCACCTGAAACAGCCTTCATTATTCGGTGTACCCTCCTGGCTTTACCATTCTATGTGCCTGCTCGTTTTGTCCTTCAGCATTCGAGGAATCGAAGCGATTCACGCTAAGAGGAACACGCCACCCACAGCGTTGCGAACCTCGGCCACCGTTAAATCCAGCAGAGCTATTACAATAAACAACTGCCATTGTGATAGATTTGCTTCTACCATGAACGCCGTCATAACAGCGTTTGTGTCTCTGTCGGAGCGGGTGGAACGAGTGCAAGAAGTACGAGCCTGGCTTCTGCGCGTCGCTGGGGTATGCGTCTGCCAACCGATGCCAAAAAGTGGTACGTACCTGGCGACATTAACAAGCGGCCTTATCGCGTTGCTACAGGGCCAGCCCTGCTATAACTGTATATCTCGATAAATTCTCTTTTTTTGTACTGCTCTTACCAACAGCTATTACCACCGCTAGTGGTATTTCTACTAACACAACTGGCAAATTTGCGCGTTGCGACTTCGTTTTCATACGATACATTATGTGCTGTACCGGCGTAGATGTATATATATATATATATATGACAAAAAACTAAAGATCGACACATAGTAACGAACTGTTGAATAGAAGCATTACATCCTTTGTACGTGTTTATGTATCACGTCTGGTTAATGCCTATTGAAGAGGATATTTTGCTTTTCAAAGGATTCTTACCAATCTTCGTTATGAGTTTGATCGTTCGACCGTTTACTCGAATACTCTGTGTAAGTGAAGGTTATGTAACATACAGTCAAGCAGAATTTAGAAGACATCTGACATCTTGCATTGTTGAAGTGGCATCCGCTAAGGTGATACCATAGAACATCATATGTTATATCACACAGTAGCGCCATTTTCTTGCGAGCTAAAGATGTTGTTCATTCTAATTGATTTGTCCTATTACTAGCTAGTATAGAATAAAAGAGTAAACGAGAATTTAAATACCTATATATATAATAAATAAATAGAAATGTACATACAAGTAATTGATTAACGGATCCCATGCCTTTCAGCCTATTTGGACTGTATAGTGTGAACCAAGATAGTGATCACCGCCATGTCTTCCCAACTAGCCTGTAATACTGCGAAGCAATCTATGAATAAACTAATTTCACTAGTTTACATTTTGTGCATCGTATTTAATCTTTTTTTCGATCTAATAACGACACTTTGAGTGCTCTGCAAAATGTCTGCATGTATCAGGCAGTAGTTTATATAGTATCTATGACATCAGTCATCGTAAATTCAAGCTAGGGTTCGTGTCAGAATAGGTAACGCGGTCGAACTATAAGTGCCAGCTTTGCAAAGTGTTTCGTTTTTCTGCTTTGGGCATCCTTTATTTATCTACGGAAATCCTTTATCAATCTAGTATGATCTGCGACCCGTGGAGTCACAAGACACTTATATCAGATGGTTGCATTACAGGATCTCGGTTTCAGTTGGACTCTGTTCGTCCGTTGATGGGCCATCTGCCTGCTACTCTTTTTTGTGACGGAATCGAAAATATAGCGATTAATGTCTCCAGGTCCATAAATAGAAGCGATTATCCATAGCGTACGTTTACAGAAACAGGTCAGCACGTTACTTGTATTGCCGTTAGTACGAATACTTACCTGTGAGTTCATCTTCCTCGAGCGGCCAGGCGCTTACCAAGCCGTGGCTTCCATCACTGCGACTACTTTGCTTATGCAAGATAACTAAATAGACGATTAGGCTTTGTAGGACAGGTAGCCTCCAGCAGCATCCGCCGGACCGATGGCCATATCTCGCCATTCTTGTGGCCACTCGGCCACCTGGTGAAATGTTAAGGAACAGACCGCCCTTCTTGCACCAGACTGCGTTGGAAACGTTCGACAATATACCAAGAGACTGGGACCCCCACACCCCCTGCCAAGTTTAGCCCGTCCTTGACGTAGAGTTGCCTTTGCACCGAACAGAATATCCCTGTTCTATAGTTGGGCTATCCATCGCATCCATTGCTTTGCAGGACGATACTGTAATCAATTAGCTGTCACATTGTTGTTGGCCTTTTGCCACACATTTACCAAAAACGACAACATCAGTTAAACACACGCCATTATTCACATCCCCAACGTAGAACACTGACAGAGAAAGCAAGACACAAATTTATTATATTGCAATGGCCGCTGATACGCTCAGCCGATTCTACGCGAACACAGAATAACTGCAAAAGTTTGTTGCCGCTGTCATACGCATTTGGTCATATCAATATTTGATTCGGCACAATCTCACATTGCTGGGCTCGTCATCATAACAGCGCCACCTATCACCGTCATGCTGATCGATCACAGCTACTGCCTGCCCAGAATGCCTTATTGTGTTACAAGCGGATGGAAAACCTCTTCATTTTGCGAAGCCATTGTTCGATGAAAACGGTTCTTCTCCACGGCACGACAAGCGTTTACGCAATACGCTGACGTCAAATGTACACTGCCTCGTCACTGGCGGCCCGCGTCCTACATTGATACGAGACGAACAATCACTTCGTCGTGGGAAACTTGTTTTTTTATGCGTTGTAACAGCACAGGCGGTTCGAGTAGTGTCTTGCGGGCACTGCTAGAGACTTAGTTGTACTCTGTTCCTGTTCTTAGGTCCCTTTCTATTGTCGCCTGATTATTCAAACGGTTTCACTGGTATCGTTCTTGGCCATCTGTCCCTATTCAATATGAATGCGTGAATGGATCTTTGCGTTTATGAACCAGCTCCTTCGTCGTTCGAATTTTCAGTTGCTTGTCCACTGGTTAAGTACACGTTCGCTTTTTATAACGTGCTCCTGCTCATAACGCCATTTATGCTGCCATTGGCAGGAAGAACGCTACCTTGCCTTGATACGGCGGATAAAAACGCATCGTCGTTAGCCAGAATGTCAATCAAAATTGGCGACTCGACGTTCGTCCCGCTACCGCTATAGCGCAAATGCAGTGTCAAAATACTGCTTCGTCTCCAAGACGAGCGGCCACTTTGCTCAGGCCACGGGTGCTTTCGTTCTGGCGAATAGCGGTGCACGCGCTTGTCTTCTTAGCAGAAGCCTTTAGGCATACGCGTGAAAGGATTGTAAGTAGGAATAGCGAGCACGCGTGGAATAAGAAGGGTCTAAACAAAGAAGGAGCGAATGAGTAGGCCTACCCAAGTACTCACAGCGTATGACCAAAGGTCAATCTCTTACGAGTCGACAAAAGCCCGAAAGGGTTATTGAGACGTATGACAATAGCAGCAACAGCAATCTTTTTCTGTTCTTTCCCGAACGATGGCCATGTGCTACCGTTTGTGCCTAGTCAGATTAAACGGCACACTCCACTCGTGTCAAAGTGAACACGCCCGCACATGTTTTCGATGTGTCGCTGAATGAACGGGGCCGATGCTCTTTCTCGTAGAAAACTCTGACCCGATCTGCGATTGTTTGTGCATCCCCTTTCCCCATGGGTAACTACGTGGAAAGGGAGCGCCCATGTGGAAAGGGCGAATTCGACACCCTTTCCGCGTTAGGATAGGACGCTGCACGCCGTGACCCACGCAGCGTTTGCTGCACGGTAATAGTTGTTTACTGCGAACAAGCTGTGCTAGGCTAGGTGCAAGAGCTCAAGGCTGTGAAAATTTTGACATATCACTTAATACTGTCGAATTAAGTAGTCATCTATGTACTATTGTATATGTAGAAGCAAATGGTAAACGTTCTGCGTATGCGACATAATAAGTGCGTCCATTATTCAAACGATTAGATCGCGATGTTATATCGTTTTCGAAAAAAGGTACATACCCTAATCAAGAGCAACAATATTATGGGAAAGCTAAGACGGGAAAAGCTCGGCTATGGTAGGTAAACAGCTGTAATTAAGGGTGAAAAAATTAAACAAGGGAGCTGTAGAAGAGATAATCGATAATAACTTTGCCTAACGTTAAATCGTGCAATATATTAGCTAACTGATCTTTGTTATTACTAAGGGGAACCTATGTACTCCCGCTACCGAACACTATTTCTTAATAATCTGTTCCAGGGCTTTATTATCGAACATTTTTTTAGACACTTTATAGTTTGATAGAGAGATTCTATTGTTTATAGCGACTTCTAGCAGTATTTGCTTGTGTCAACAACAAGTAGTCTATTTTAGCGCATATGAACCGGTCCGAACAATTCAGGAAGTAAGCAACATTTTTGATAGATCGAAATCTATCGAACGATACGACGGCCGGAAAAGGTAGACGTTCTATGAGGGGTCCAACGACTTGAAATATTGCGCTGTGCAGTATGGCAGTGTCCGATGCCTACAAAGGCGGCGAGCTACATCATGTTCTAGTATCTAAAATGGCCAACAGCGCATAGTCATCGCATGGTGGGTGGTGAAAAATGTAGGTAGATGATGGAGTGAGTGCATGAACAAGCCGAATAGCTTAAGGAACGCCTGGAACACAAAGTGTGTCTTAGACAACAAGTAGTACCCTTGAACCTAGGTGCGGATATAAAGCAAACTTGTTTTTAGTAAAAGAGTGTCTTGTACACGCCTAAACACCCAGGATCTATCGGTTGCCACGGTCGAAACGATACAGAGATAATGCAGGCTGAGATCTCCAATGAAAAAGAGGGAACACTTTCAACTGCACAGAATCATCACCCGTTTCGACGGCTCGTAGAGAAAAAAAACCCTTTGTTATACACTTACGGTCCTATTTTGAAACGTCAAGTCAGCGAAGTAATATCCAGGTTTCGTTTCATATCTACTACTACAGATGTCATTTTGATTGACCGCAATTTAATGTTATGCCGCAGATGTCAATTGTGTGAATAAGGAATCACATCCTTATCCGTCCTCTGGCACCGACCAATTCTGCTCATTACAGACTTATTGGAAGTTGCGCAATACAAAGAGGCTCGCATCAAGTAGCGCAGGCCAAGTCACCTACGCAGTCTCGCTGGCCGCTGTGTTGTATAGCTGCATAGCTGGACGGTATAGGGGCATCCGGAAATTACACCACGTTTTTTCGTTGGATGCATGCATACATACATACATATACAGGCAGCCTGGTGGCCAAAGCTAACCTAGTGATAATAACTATAACATACAATTTACTAGAAAGGTACACATTCGCTTCCGTTCTGGTACGGAGTATAGGGACACACATGATCTATGTCAGCGACGTTCAGTAAAACCTTACAACAATCCAGTACTATGCTCGTACGAATATGCGATTTGTACAGCCGAAGCAATAGCAGTAGCAGCAACAAGCCACTGTGTACTTTGTCTTGAAGTGCTATGTTGGAGTAGTAGCGCCCCAGCTACCGCACAGCGGTAACTGCACGCGGTTCGATATACCTAAAGATTAACGTGCTGACATCTATATTTGACGCAAGAGCCTAATTCTATTATGACCTTCATATGTGATCTAGCAAAGCATTAGATCCACATTATTACATCTCCTCGAGCGAATTGGTTCCGAAGATAGGTTTTCCTCGATCGCACTTCCCTTGTCCCCGAATAACGTGCCCTTAAAAGCCTTCGCTGCGGAATCTTGTCCTTTCCTGTGACATCTTTTGCGCGGGCATTCAAGTTTGAACGTGTGACTTTTGCGAACATGGCTTATGGTATCGAGCTTGTTAGCTTTTTACCCATCACCAAGATAACTAGAAAAGATTAATAAACCTTAGCCATATAACGAAAACAAATAATAGTATAACACATTCTGTTAAAACGTAAAGGAAGATAGAGCTACAGCATAGTTCCCAAACTGTAACCTTAGTCTTCGTCTACTGAAGGACAAGTTTCTACTGAAAATGGCATATGTGCGGAACGAATCGCGATATCAATCCCAAAAGTCTCTTAAGAAATATATGGACGATTCGAGATAGAGTGCACCGTTGATAGCCAACTATATACGTCGGCAGCGGCACTCTACATAGAAATTAAGGGCATATGCTTCATGTAATTGCGTCTGTGGTCGGGTAGCTACAAAACAGGGCTGAACTGGTTTAGCCTTTTAGCTGCAGACTGGCCATTAGTATCTGATCGTTTTGAAAACGCTATGCACCAATTATAGCTATTATAGCTAAAGAAAACGAGAAATGATTACTAGATTACTGGTTAACGGGAAAGACAGGTGGGTACTTTGAACTTGAAATTTGGCTCGATCCAAACAGATGGTACAGTAGATAACAAAAAAAATTGAAATACGGCAAAGATCAGAGACCGATACGAATCGACAGCACAGACGATACACATATAGTTCGTCATTCAAAAATCATAATCTAAAAAAAACTGTCTAAATATCCTATTTTCAGGTAAAATAATAGATGCACAAAAGGCATCAACTAGAATCTATGTATTATTCATATATTAATAAAAATTTAATATTACAATTACCTATATTAGCTTGACGAGCATGGGAAACAATTCACAACCTACTTAGCCAGGCCAATTAATTAGCTTAGTCAATTTCCCAATGCCAGCAGCTTTATCGGTATTTCGCTTAGCTTGGTTTTCTCACGAGTTTCATCTGGCAGCATTTTAAGGCTCACAATAGGCAAAAATCGGCTCAACACATCAAAGTGGCAAAGGAACCTGAGGATCGTTCGGTTTGCGATATTCTAGTCCGACATTTGAAGAGGCTGTAGAAGTGTATCGATCAAAATAAACCGAACCCCAAATATATATAAGCAATGACAAAGGAATTGCTGAGGCCTTTTTAGGAAGAACTCACTTAGCTTTTAGCGTCTGAGACATCAGCTCAGGCAACGATAGCATAGACAAATCTGGTTTTACTTTTACATCGATTTCATAACGTATTATAGCAGTGGCTTGTATTCGACATCGACGTGAGGTTACCTCCCAAACGATTGCCGTGAGCCACCGTGAGCTGATGTCCAAATGTTAACATCGGCAGTAAACATGTGTTGTTTTGTGAGTTATAGTGACGAACATTGTAAGTCCACCACCAAAAGAATTCAGTCTCAGAACTTTTTTCATTTCTCTTGGCTTCGAGCTGTTGTATATTTTCCGAATTCCCTTCTTGCTTTCGGTATTTTGTTAGAGCATTTCGGGAAAATTGGCGATCTAAGTGTTCCCAAAAATTGGCCAAAGAAAATAGCAACCAAGGACAGGATTTTCCACGCAGGAAAGCCTGATTCAGCTTTAATACGTGCCGGCGCAAAGATTGCATAGCAAGCTTTGTCAAACTTACCTATAGAGGACCTTAGGTCCACTAATAAGTTATAGCAGAAAAAAAATTATTCTTAATATAAATAAATCGACTTTGTCGATTTTAGCTTAAGCGAATTTTAAGGCCGTTTTATACGCAGCTCGTTGCGGAATATCCAGAAATAATTTAATTGTCAGAATCATATGTTTTAATGCTGCTGACATATGGAAGTATGTGAATGAAAAAATCTATTTGCTACAAGTAGACTTATTTAACATAATGTATCATCTGTAACAATATGGACCAAAATGGTAAGGACTATACCGCACTGTTGTTTTTAGAAATTTCCGGGTTCACATACGGAGGCTCACTACAAGGTTAACGTTTGAGTATAAGGCAAACTTGACATGCGTCCAGGGACAGACTATGCTTTTATCCAACATTACAGGGTTAATAAATATAAGCTGGGACAGCTGCCGAGAGAGGTTTATGGCACTGACCTAAAATATACGTTGGAAAGAAAATGAATCGATTTATTCTTATCGCGGACAAATAGGGGCACCGAGCGAACAATAAATTACAAAGGTTGTACAAACTACATTGCGGCTATTTCGAAATGGATTCCTATTAGAACTTGCAGGACTATTCAGATATAACGAGGTGTTGATGAGATATTTAGGTTGTCAAGTAGTTGTCTGTGGGAATGAAGAGTGTTCGGTGGTTGGCACTACGTGCACATGCTGGTGGCACGCCGTAAATATCTGACGAGTAAATTTCATTGAAACTTGTTTTAGCGGGCGATTATAATCATATTACGATTTTGCTTTTAACTTCATTTTACTACACTTTAGTTTCAGCGATTGACACTATTCTAAGGTTCGACATTATGCTTCATAAACGCGTGTATTCATAGACATTCATTCACATAGAATAAACAGGTGGATTCGTATAAACTGAAAGTCGCTACAAGCTCGATAAGTAAGAGAAGCAACATTCGAGAGTCCTGACTGTCATAGAAGGAGACAAACGTTTTTAGTAAAAAAGCCCTTTTCGATTGAGACAAAACTATTATATTATGCGTTTTGTTGTCACAAAGGCTGAACTAAAAAAAGAATAGGTGAAAAGCTGTATTTATTTGTTACATTTATGTAAAGGTCTTTATTGTTTAGCAGAATTTTAGACGTGAGTGTTAGTTATATTAGTGTAA